TTGTGGAATGCTTATGTTTTCTATTGCACATGCTTTATTATGTACGATAGCACAAATTTTATGATATCACAGTGATATGGAGCTATATATTCCCACATTTCCCTCATTGGGAATTTTGTTTGGGAAATTCTGTTTGAATTTTAGTGCCAGGAGTCTGAAGGGAGCTGTTCTGTTTACAGATACTTTTCTGTTTCTATGAATAATGCACTTACATATGTTGTAAGAGTTTGATTTCAGTCAGACTAAAACAATAGTTTGTCTTATTAAATGTCATGGAAATGCTTTAGCAAGACTGAAATTGTACCGGTCCGATTTGTGCGATATCAAAATGAATGTCTTTGACCTCTGCATTGTTTGCATGCTCCAAAAGACAGTGGTGATGCACAATAAACAGTCAGTTATCTCATGTATATTTGGACAGACAGATGAAAACTGAAGTGCCATTACACATGCCTGTACCAAGGTACACAAGTAAGATAATTATGTTTACTTTGTCCCTAAACCTAACACTCTTACAAATCTGCTGACATTATTAGATTTAAAACAAGAGAAAATTTGGCCCGATTTATGAACCTTTTAAATAGTACTGCACTTCAAATGTCAGTGTTTGACTATAATGATGACATTTTCAGTTTTGTCTTTCACAAAATTAGCTAGTACATTTATAAAAGCCATGTCCTCCTCCTAAAACATCCCAGGATCAAAAAGCATTACATCACACATGTACCGGGTAAGTCTAAAACGTAATGGCAGGATGTCCTCAACACTTCCCAGAATAGTGAAATCATCTTCATTACTTGTTTTGTTAAAATGTCATTGATCACAGTTAGAGGAAGAACCCCTACTACATAATCCAAACCCACTCAGACGAAAACTTGAACACACAGTTGAGTTCAACAACCAGATCTTAAGAGTTTTATCAGCGAGGATCTCTCATATGTGCAACCATTTTCACAAGGAGCATTTCAGGTTGGTTTTAGACACAGTTTATATAGTTTCACTATGTCTATGAGGAGGACATTTACAAAATGGCCAGTGCATTTTTCTGCTATAGCATGTGTGCACTATAAAGCAATAGAGATTCTTACCTGTGTGTGGAAATCTATGCAGTTTAGTCTGTGAGAGTGATTTAAAACTGTCCAGACTGCAACCACTACATATGAACACAGACACATGCATAACACACACATCCAGGGCCGTTTCTAGCCAATTTGATGCCCTAGGCAAAATCCCTAATATATATATGTGTGTATATACAGTATATGTATATATTTATATATATATACATATGTGTATATTCTTTTCAGACACCAGTTGCTTGTCACATTCAAATTGGTTGTCATAGTAACGACAATAATTTGTGGAGATTCAGTGCATTGAGTTCCACAAATCTGAATGCATTATTTGTAAATTGACTTAAGATAAACATTTTGCACAATTTATTATCTGTAATATCACTGTGTTGCCACTAGATGCCTGTATAGCCCTATGTAACAATCTCTAGTAGCTAAGACATTGCACATAATTTACACATAAAT